GAAGGAATGTTCTTTTAGTAGTTAGTTCATATTGCTACTTTTTTTTTTTATCAAGATCATAGGGATTTAAGTAAACAGTGCTGTTTCTTACCAAGATGCATCCTCAGAACCTGTTGTTTTTTCTCTTATCTTTTTTACTTCCACGGCTCCAGACACTTGTAGTGCAGGTGTCCAACTCAACAGCTGTACCATCTCCAACACTGCTACTGATTTGCTACTTTTTATTTGATACTCCTCAAAATCATAGTTCTTGCAAATAGAACTCTTGTTCTCTTGCAGTCTATTTTACAGATTTCTTTCCTATTTTTTTTCTATATTTTCTGAGTTTTCTCTGCTAGTCTCTCACCACATTCTTCTTTGTCTGTGTCTATCATTTTCCAGCAGTATTGTGAAAGGAAAGGAAGAAGTAAGCCTTTTATAAACTTCTGTATCATATTCTAAATGTCTAGCCTGAAAATTTATGCTGTAGAACATTGATTCAGGGAAGTCCTTAGAATTTGAACTTATGCATTTTGGATCTTGGCTTTATCACAAAGAAGCTCTGTTCTTGTTTGTAGAGTATTTACTGATTACCTAGCGCTGGAGAGTAGAGTATGGAAAGAGATGTCTCATTATTTCATAAGGCTCCTTTGCAAATGAAGCACTGTGTAGTGGAATGCTTGTTTTCTCAAACTAGATTCTACCAAATATCTTAGCAGTAAGGAGAGCTTTGCCTTCCAATAATCCCGTGAGCAGAATCCTGATTTAATATGGCTTGTTATATAGGCTAAGGGAAAGAGATAAAAGAATAAATTGTTAAGATCGAGAGATCTTGCTTGACTATTTGTAATATCAACACACTTAAGTTTGAAATAAAGCTCCCTAGTAGTATTCTAATGTTTTCCACTTTTGTGTAGGATTTCAAAGCTGAATGTTTAGATTAGATCCAAAAACATACAGAGCTGTGCTTAGGTGACTTTTCTGCCAGTAGGGACGATTGGTGAGGATAGTGTGGGCAGATTTGAACTATCTTTATGAGACGGAAAACAGTAACCAAGCCATTCCATAGGCAACAGTGATGTGGGTTTATATTGTTTGAAACTATCCTCAGGCTATTCCTTATTGCACCTTCTTAATAGAAAAAGGGAGACTGGGGAATCAGCTCCTCTAAATTGTTTGCCTTTTATGGTTTCTACCTTTTCCAGATGATCCTCCTGCTGCTGCCTGAAGGTAGGCAGGTTCCTGAGATATGTAGCAGCTTTACAGAGGTCAAAAGATTTCAAAACCAAATAATTTTAACAAGAGAGCTAGCTCATAATATGTAATTTGATTTGAACTGAGGTCAACATTCTTGGGTGCAGAATTGACCCTTCCTTTCAGGGTCGGCCAGTGTATTTTGAGTTATGTCATCACATCATTAATTCATCTGAAATGCGTTGTGCTTTAGTGAGACAAGTGATCGTAAGAATTCATCTTGTAATAGTGTGCAGTGCATAGAGATTCTCTGATCTTACTTCTTGAATGAGGGCCAAGTATTTGTGTAAGTATTGCTCCTTGAAGTTAAACTGCTGAGAATCTGGATTTTATATATTTTTTTTAACCTAAGAGTGATGAACATGGGTTCTTTATATGTGCTTGTATGCTTATCAAGGAAGAGTCTGAAAATAACCTTCCTCTTTGCCTGACCTTTTTGTTTTGCCAGTGAAGTGCAAGTTTTTTTTTTTTTTTTAATTATAATTTTTTTAATTCCATGGAACATAAAAAATAGTATTTGTGATTCCCAGGTGTAGAAACACCTAATTTGTTAGGTTATTAAATAGGAAGGCTTTATCTTAAGATGTAACTTCTAGTCTGAGCCACCTAGGATGAGATGGAATGCCTTGCCTTATGGCTGTCACTAATATTACTATTTAAAACAAAACCCCAAGACCAAAACAGAATGAAAAAAGAACAGAAAAAGACTTCTGCTTTTTCCTTACTTTTTTCTGTACTCATGCTTGTTTGTAGGCACTGGGAAATATGGATAAACAAGGTGAGAACTGAGTTACAATCTGTCATTGCGGATGACTTTCTGCAGTTATTCTGGCTATTGGTTGTTACTTTTTCTTCATCAAGTTCTTTCCTTTAAAAGTAGAAAAAGAACAATAAAAAGGAAACCCTTAAAACCTATTAAAATAAATAAAAATCTCTCATAAACCTCCCATTGCAGTAGATGGTGAATGGGAAGTAAAAATTACTGTTGAGCACAAGACTAGTCATGGGAATGGATGAGGTTTTTCTTGGCTTTCATGAACAAAAGCTCTGGACCACATTTGTGGACATTATTTTGTTGTTTTTGTTTTGGATGAGGATCCTGAAAGCAGGTACATGGCTCTGTCAAAGACTCAGAGTAGAATGAACTCCTTCAAATAAAGGAAGTATGAAGTTTTGGAGGTGGAACACAAGAAATACATAAGGAGGCTGTCTTTCTGGAGTTCTGAGATTAAATGTCAAAATCCACATTATGTGCTTTGGTGAAGGAGCCAGGACATTAAGGGTTTTTTTCCTAGCAGGACTTTGACATGCTCATTTTGTTTTTATTCATTTGCTCCTAAATAAACTTAAAACTGCATGGATACAAAAAAATAACAGATCTCTCAGAGGACTCCTTTGCAGACTGAATGCTGAGGCTAGGAAAAGCAAGCACTTGAAGGTGTCCCAGGCATCTCTTTCCAGTTTTCTTCTCCAAATGGCGTGGAGCTGTGGAGCTGCCATTTGAACATAATGAATAGGGGTAAATCAAGTAATAGAGCTGTCTGCATCCACAGCCATATGGTTCTTATTCCCACAGGCTTGGCAACATCAATCAAACGTGAGTTAGAGAGACACGTTATACCTCTGTTGCATATGAGATAGATATTCAGGCATTACTAAATGTAAGTTGGTTTTAGAAGCTTGAAATGAGACAACAATGTAACTAGAAATTATTTGCTGTCCTTGATTAAGTGTGTGTAACACAACCTGCCTCAGCCTCTCTCGCAGTACAAGTCAAAGGTTTGATTCTGGGGTGACTGAAAAAAAAAAAAAAGGTATCAATAGGCAAATTAGCTGGAAAGAGATTCATAGTCTTCTAGCTTATGTTCTCATGCATATCTGGTGGACAAAGCTATCTTAGAAGAAATTTATCTGACCACTGAATCATTTTCCTTTTGGAAGGTTGTGCAGAGGAAGTATAGGCGTGTAATGCTGCTGCTTCTACCTTACTCAAGAATGGCAGTCGGTATTTAGGTGACAGTGTGATGCAGCTGCCCTTGTTATACTGAAATACTTGAATCTTGTCTGGTGGTTTTTTTTTTTTTTTTTTTTTTTTTTTTTTTTAGGAGATTAAAAACAGGTAGTTCATAATCTGAAAACATGTATAGGGCTTTTCCTGTATTTAACTATGACTTCCTGATGTAAAACTGTGTCTCTGCTACCAGATTACTGTTGTATTAGATTCAATAAAACCTTTAATGGGAATTCAGTTTACCAGCAGTTGCAAATTGTACTGATATACGTGAAATGATTTAGTGAAAGGTCACCTAAATTTTGTCCCTGAGCACCACATCTAAATGGATTTTAAACACAGTCAGGGGTGGTGACTCAACCACCTCCCTGGGGAGAAGTTTTTCTTGATATCCAACCTAAACTTGAGTCTATGAGCATTAGAGGCTTGTGCTCCCCCAGTCATTCATTCTGGGAGGCTCCAAACTGGCAAAATAAAAATTTTTGGTGGCCTAGCTAAGATTTGGGTACCAGATTGCCTGTTTTTGTTGTTGCTTAGTCTTTAGTCAGGTATCACACATGCTAGCCTCACAGCTAGCCCCAAAATTGATCTTTTATCATCTGCTACATAGATGTGGAATTACTATACCTATAATGTTGGGGTAGAATTTAGCTCCCAGTCATAGTTTGTCCATAGTTTGTTTGTCCAGCTTTATAAAAAGGAAGAGTCTCCATTTTGTGTGTTTCAAGTGAATAACTTTTATTTTCTATAATGTGCTCTACTTAATTCTCTATAGTAGTAAGAAGGGTATTGTATGCAGTCTCTATGCAAAAAGACTTAGTGTCCTCATTTAATATTCCTCCTCTTGCTGTTATTTCTCCTTGCTCTTGGTTTTTGGCTGTTTACAATCTGACATTTTCTTCTGCTCCCAGAATGTAGTCTTAAAATAAACTAGTGACATGCAAAGGTCTCTTGGAGCCAAAAATGTATATACTTTTAGACATGGTAACAGCAGACGAAGTTGCTAAATTTACATCTTTGTTCTCCTGGAATGGTTAAAAAGTAGGGTTGCATTTAGATAATGTATAAAATATTTGCATTTCAATTCCCATGAAAAATGCAAGGGAAGGTTATAGCTAGTAAGAAAATACTGGAATAATATATAAATAAATAGTTTGGGTACTAATATGTTAGGTGATTTATTTATTGGTGTGTTCTTTGTTTTATCTGTTTGTTTTACTGTTGATTCGGTTTAGGTCATAACATTATTTCTTGATTTCTTGCAGGTGTAATTCCTTTCTCAGTGCCCAGTCCCACAAAGTATCACTTCAGTCAAGGTCTGTGTTATTCAATTTTGTACAAATTACAGTAGATTTCGGGCAAGTAGCCATGAGTTGTGATCTGAATTCAGAGTGTTATTACCCAAATACTAATAGAAAATTTCACATGATGTATTCTGTTTTCCCACACAGTAAATGTAAATTTACAAGGTAAATTCATAGTAAAATGAAATCTGAGCCCTAAGGAATATTTACTCTGAATGCAGAATACTTATCTACTAGTTAGTTCAGATAAATGTTACATCTATACTGATATATGTGATATATACATCTAGCTCTGTCAGTGAATATGTGACTTTATGTACTTACGATTACAGATGTATGTGTATGTATGTATGTTCACACCACTGCATCTCCATTTGGGTTTCAGATTAGGTTATGGGCAGTAATTCAAAACTGCAGTGGTTGAACTTTGTTCTCTAAGCAAACAAAAGACTCCTGAACCCAGGAAAGCATGGAGATAAGATATTACAAGCATTCATAAATAAAATGGTTTGTTCCAGTTTTTTTTAACCTATTTTACCTTTTATAAAGTGTATTTGCATTTTATTTATGAAGAAGTAAATGCTTTCTCTGAGGTGATTATTGAGACAGCTGGTATTGCTCCCAGTGCCAAATCTAGAGCTTGCTTTTCAGACTGGAATGCTGATAATTGCATGCGAGGAAACCCCAACCCTCTTTTTTAAATTGTTGTCTGTGGAGCTTAACAGGATGCATTTATGAAGATTTCTCTTTAAAAATGAGAATTCAGTCTTTCTTTTCCGTATCAGGAAGAGAAGAGATTTGTATGTCATTTTGAGTTGAAGGTTAGGCTTTTTTTTACCCCAGAACTAATTGTTACATTACTTCCTCTTTGCTTCTTCTTTGTCAATTATTTAATGTCTTCTTTTTTTCTGTAGGCTTCTTAAATCTTCTGATTAAACAAGGAAATGATTCTTTTTATATACTGAAGTCAATCAAGGAACAATTTGTGAAATGAAAAAGAAAATGAAAAAGCTGGAATCATGTTGTTAGGACTTCACTGAATTTATATAAAAAACTCTTGCTAACTCCATTTTAAACTACCTCAATAGTTAAATAATTCCAGAAACTTGATCGAGAAAATTATTTTGTAAAAATAATCTCAGTGCTTAAAATGTTAAGACCCTTAAAATCTGAGAATTCAATGTAAAGATGAAGGGCTTCAATGTATTTTTACTTGCTGTAATATAAATGAGGAAAAAATTAGGAACAAAATCAAGTTTTATGCTGTCATTCTTAATAGCTCATGAAAGATCTGTGACATCTCAGACTTGAAAACATGAAGAGTTTCTTTTTTTTTTTTTTTTTTTTCCTAGACCTGGGTGAACTAGTCTAGAAATAATAAAATAAAACAACAAAGAAATTGCACACAAAAAGAAATACCTGAGTTGTTTTGCAAAGAAAAGAGCAGAGTAGAAAATTAAATACTGCAGCCACACATTTTTTGCCTTGCAGTGGTCACTGAGTTCTTTTTCATGGTTCTGAGTGTTCTGTTTCCTCTAACCAGAGCAACATCTAGTGGCTGGAAGATACCCAGCTCTGAAAATAGAGCAGAGTCCTGGTGTTTGAAGGGCAGGAGGCAGAGAGAGAGGCTTTCTGATCAAGCGTGGAATAATTCCATAATGATGGCTGTAGGACTGCTATAATTCAGTTAAATGCTACAGCACATAATATTTTCTGCTGAATGATCTTATGTGTATTTGATTGCAAACTCCAGAGGAAGTCTTAAGCTCAATATCTCAGCATCTGAAGAAACACAATATGCAGCTTGATATGAGTAATATTAGAAATCAAGATATAAAGTTGCATGTGATATGATACTGTGGATTTTTGTAGGGCAGATTTTGGCCCATGGAGGTACGGTTGACAGTTCCTTGAGAGGCAATTCCAAGGGGCAGAGGGTCCAGAAAGGTTGAGCACTATTACAGAATCATAGAATCATAGAATCACCAAGGTTGGAAAAGACCTAAAAGATCATCCAGTCCAACCGTTCACCTATTCCCAATAGCTCCCACTAAACCATGTCCCTCAACACAACATAAGATTGTATGAATAAGATGTAGGCGCAGAAACACACTGTCCCTGTGTGCTGAGAGATGAGCCAGTGCAGAGAGCCCTTCCTGGCTGAAAGGAGTTTTTTCTGCAACTCTGGAAGAAAAAGAGTTTATGACCTTTCGAAGAAGGACAAAGATGTCCTGTGGCTAAGCAGGGAGGCAGGAAGCAGAATGAGGCCAGGAAAAGTGGTTAGCAACCTACCAGTTATTCACCTGAACACCCACAGATCTGTTGGACTAGGTGGGATCTATCCAGGAGTTGTGGCAATGCTTGCCAAGCTGCTCAGAGTAATTTGTCAGCAGTCCTGGCTATCTGGGAGGTCTCATTTGACTGGAGGCTGGCAAACGTGATAATGCTCATACAGGAAGGGTGGGAAGGAGGAGCACTGGAGTTACAGACCTGTCAGTCTGGCCTTAGGGCCAGGGAAGGTCTTGCGGTGGATCAGGTTAAGCATGGCATGCATGGCAGAAGTGGGTGCTCAGACCCAGTCAGCATGGAAATAAGAAAGGCAGGTCCTGCCTGACAAACCTGATCTTCTTCTCTGGTGAGATGACCAGGTTCATGGACTGGGTCTGAAGTTTTGCATAAATTTTATGCATTACTTCACATCTGTGTGCTGCTTTTGGCCTTGATGGAATATATGAGAGCTGTTTATAATTCAGAATGGTTATCTCCTTTGTCCTTGGAATGCATTTCTTTTCTCAGTTAAGACTGTTGCAATTCAGTTGCTTACCTGTTTATCTAGACTGCCTATTTGTTTACATTAAAGAGAACCATCTTGCAAGTTCTTATGCTTCAGTTCTGTGCTGGTATGCAGTCACTATACATCTCCCACCAGCTCACAAAGATGTAGGCAGTTCCACTGGGGGAAGAGCTAGAAAATGACACTTGTACCCTGTTCTTGTTTGTTTTTTTTATGTGATATGACGTAGCCTTATCTGCTTGAGGTTGTAGACAGTCCTGTAGATTTTTGTGAAACAATTCACAAGAGTAAAATGCCTTCAAGACCATTTCAGTCTGTTTTTATCTTGGAACTTCTAGCATTTTTGCAGGATAAAGGGCTAAGAATAGATTTTTAATATAACTTTTCTGAGTTTTTTCGAAAAAACCTTCCCAATGTCATGGTGGGAACTGCTGAGTTGAGAAAGTTTAACCTCATTTCAGTACTGAAACTGGAAATGAGTTCTGTCCTCTTTGAATTGATTCCCGTTGTGTATATACAGATACAGGTGTTGGCAATTTTGAAAATCTAGCCACACACAAAATATATCAAATCAAGACTTTTGAAGCTGTGTTTGATTCCCTTTTTAAAATAAGTTTGCTAATGAGGTGTAGTGTACCATGCTGACTACTGATAAGCAAGAAGCAGATGTATATTTTTCTTCTTTAGTCCAACTGTGACTTGTCCAGGGCTCTGTGAAATTAGCTCTTTGATTCTGAAAGTTTGCCCAATTACAGTTATGTGTAGCATAAAGCAGGAACCTCTTATTTAGAATTCTTTTGAGGAAATTTACATTTGGAGTAGTGGAACTATGGCTCTTGATCTACACTTAATTAATGCTGACAATGTTACATTCATTCAGCCAGATCTAAGCACAGAAATATGTAATTTTTATGCCAATTAGTCCAGTCAAGTGAGGTTAGCTAATGAAAGAGTATATTTAACTCGGGAAGAAATTGACTATTTGTTTTAAATAATTTTTTTTTAATTCCAGCCCGTCTCATCATTGTTGAACATACCATACTGATCTACACCTGGGAAGGCGCTACATGGTGGTGTGAAGATTTACATGTTTGAAATCTTGGGGCAAACAGAAATAAGATAACAATCTGTGTTGTAAATTGATGGGAGCAGGTGATTTTAGTGGCTGGTGGCTGGGCAGCTTTGTTTTACTGTTGGTGCTAGCAGAGGAGAGGTCTGGTGAGCTCTGTGAAAAGTAAGAATGTGGAGTAGGTGTAGCTGCCAAATTTGATCGTGAGCAGAGGGAAGCAGCATTACAAGACTGATTGGAAGAGGCTGGGAAGTTTTTTTGGCTGTGTTAGTGTTTTGTCATGAGCAATTGTCTCATATTTACCTTCTGAGAATCTCTGCATGCAGGATCGAAGTGGGAAGATGAAAGGGTGGAGAATGATAATCTGTGGGAAAGCTGAAGGTTCTATATGCTGGGTATTTGGGTTTGGGGTTAAGTAAATCTAGCCTGTGATAGGCAAAAAGAAACTAAAGTGGAGAATCACTCTGATCATTTTTACATAAATTGGTAGAGAAATCCATCTGTTATTTAAGTGGGGCTTGAATCTAGAAATGGCAGATGCTGTAGTATTATTTTCATGTGGTGTGTCTGTGCTCTGGTCACACGTGTTGGTGTGTGTGCAACAGACCGCTAGCGTTTATGTTCACCTTTAGCAGGTAGTGATTTGTAATGGAGGAGTGTTCTATTTCTTGACTTTGTATTTTATCATTCAATTTGTAGCTATGATAGAAAACTACTGTGTAAGTTGTATGTAGCACATCTTTCAGATGGTTGGTAGGAGAAGAAAACCAGAAATAAAGCTACACTTTAAAACTGTAGTGAATTAAAACAATAGTGCTGGCTTCTGAGAGCAAATACTTGTGTAAAAAGATTGCCTCTGTTCCCTTACCACAGTCTAGAGACAAAATTAGAAAAAGATACAGCTTAATTAAGGAAATAAAATGAAACCTAGCTGTTCCATGCATGCTATTTCCTGTTTGGTATCAAACAACAGAAATTCACTTTAATAGTATCTATGTTAAACTACAGGCAGTGTCAACTTAATGAATATGAGTTGTTTTCTGGGGATGGATATACATAGTATTTTCTTCCCCCTAATGAAAAGCTGTGCTCTGTTTTGTCCTGCAGTACTAAATGTTAGATGATTTGGAGTTTTCAGCAGAGGGATCTCCATGATCTGAAGCAGGCTGTTCCACCTATATCTGCTGAGCCTCCGAACTTGAAAAGGGCCTGAAGAGCCCTGAGGAAAGATGAGCAAAAGTCAGGAGAACTGTAATCATGGTTCTGTTTATATGAAATTTATAGAGTGTACAGCTGCTTGAAGGAAATATAGTTGGAGGCTTTGCTGATCTGTGTCAGTTAGGTTGGATAAAAATTCTGTAAATAGAACAGAAACCTCAGGAAGGTTTTGCTAAACATCATCTTGTTGTGTGCTCTTGTGCCAGCTGCTCAGATCGTGATTGATGCTGAGCAGCTATTGGAGCTGTCTGGCACTTCTTGTATCCCTAGCGTAAAAGAAGCAGGACAGATATTGGCACTTGAGGTGTTAAGTGATTTGGAACAATTAGCTGTGAATTTCAGTTTGATTAAACAATTTCTGTATTTAGGTAGCTTGTGTAATATGATTTTGATCACAGGAAAGTTTAAGAACAGTGTTACATGAGTTATGACATGTATTGCAACACTACAGTAACACCTTTCAGTCTGATTACAGTGTGGGATTGTAAGCAATGTTCATTTAGAATTTGATTTGAAGCAATGTCTTCCCAAACTCAGCTACCAGCAAGTTAGAAGAAAGTGGTTTCATTATAAACAGGCCTGTTAGTCCATTCATCTCCTTATAAAGCTAATTTGGATAAGATTAGAGGCCATGAAGTAGAGTATTTCAATTCAATTTAGTACTTCTTATCAGAAAATAAGCTGACTTGAAAACCCAAAAATAAAAACAAAGAATTCAGAAAACATTCTTTCAAGTACTTGCCAGATCTGATCAGCTATACAGTTACCTAAAGGAACTACATTGTATCTGAAGGATGAAGAATTAGACTTCAGAGAGGTGAAAATGCAAGATAGTAGGGCCAAAGTACTAAGTTATCTCTAACGATTTGTTGGAGTGATCAAATCTTTGCTATGCATTTTAGTACAGTATTTTCATTCTATTTCAAATTTTTCTGTGCTCAAATATTTATGGAGTTTTAATAGGAAAAATAACCTGGTTTCCCAATGGCTAGCTATTAACACTTAGGGAATCATTACTATTCTCAAGAAATAGCTATCTTTTTCTCAAGTGTTAGCTTCCTGCAAGCAATCTTAGCTAATTAATCCTTGCTGCACTTCCGAGAATGGCTGCATTTACCTGTCTGATTAATGTTTCTGCAAGGATAGTATATTATGAAGGTAGGTTTATAAAGGTCATAATACAGGCAACAGTAACTTTGACAACAAAGTGAGCAAGGTATTCCAAGCGTACATAACAATATGAGAGATGACACTGATAGTCTTGTGAAAATGAAGCGGGTACTAGCAGTTACTAGGTAAGACTTTTAAAGGGGGGAGGGGGTAGGAGAGGGGAAAACCTGGCATTCATTAATTTGTTCTGTGTTTAGATGCCATTACTCTCAGTTCTGAATGTAGGTGCATGTACACACCTTGAAACCATTGAAATGGAAGGCCAGAGGTTGTGTAAGTTTACCCTTTCAGTTAGTCTAGCATGGAAGAAGAGTGATTATCAGTTACAATGAGGAGAAAAAGCATGTTGGAAAATGCTTAGCATAAAATAACAGCTCAGTAACCCGGTGTGTTGTGGTACATGGTGACATAATTCTTAAAGCAGGGAGTTTTCTTGAAACTGGGCCCCCCCATCCATAGTGAAATAATATTAGTATTTCTACTATTAAAAAAAATTGATATTTCATATATTTTGAAATAGATTTTGTAGTAGTTCTCAAAATCTTGTTCATTGTGGGTGCCGAGGCTAATGATGATGAGGTTTGCATTTAGTTTCCAGCTTTGCTTCAGATTGTATAAACTTGAGGTATACTCCTGACAAAGTCACTTGGAAAGCAGAAACAGGCCAAATGTTATGAGTGCTAGTACTTTTCCCCAGCCTTGGTTTTGCTTCGGTTGTTTTTAGCTTGCAGTCTTCACCTTAAAGCCATATAATGAAGTTTGGATCTAAGCTGAAGTAGCATTGGAAAAAACTGAGCTTAGATAATGGGAATTAGAGCTTCTATAACAGTACTGCAAGTTAAAGTGTGCACTAACACTTGTTTTTATTAATCCTTTGGGAAAAACGTGAGTTGGTGATCATAAAAACTGTCATTATTGGACTGGATACATTCTTGAGGAATAAGAGTTTGCAACAAGAAAGCAAGAACGTTAAGAACAGTATAAGAAACTGTACAGATTTCAGAGGTGCCCACCAGGATCGTACCAGAAGTTGCTTCTGCTAGTCAAAACTGTGCTAACTCCATTTCTAATGGAGACTTGTCTGCAGAAAATGTAACATGGAATGATGTTTTAAGTAGTTATTCATAGTAGACACTGTGCACAGGAGCAGGGTCTGTGCTGGCTGTCCTGTGACTGAATATCTATACTTTTATTTTTCTTACAGATAAAATGTAACTGGTTTGAGCGCAAGATTGTGTCATCATGCCACATCTGTCATTTGGAGTGTGAGAGGAATGTACCATATTATGGTATGTGAAATTTGCTCGTACTGCTTGCTTTCTGCTTTCAGGTTGTACATTGAAGATGTTAATAAGTGCTCCTTAAAATCAAAATGGGATTATAATAAAGGTGGCATTTGAAATTCTGCTGAAAGCTGCTCAGAAGGTTTGTGATCTTTAGGTAGGTAGTTTTAATATAACAGTGGAACTGAGGCAGTTATTTCCCCTCGTATAGGATGATGTACAAAATAATATACAGCAAACTGTCAATAGCTTGTTAGGCTGTTTCAAAACTGACAGTTTAGAAATGTCCATGACAATTCACAAATTCTTAAATATTTTTTAATTGATTAAAGATTATAAAATCTGATTTAACCTGCGATGTTTGTTCAACTGCAAATGGACAAACAGATATCAATGTGCTAGGATAACATTTTCATTATTTGCTGAGTAGGCAGCATTATTTTCAGTTTGTGGAAAATTAAAGATGGCACTTCTAAATCTCCTGTCCTATGGATTGTTTACATGGCATAATGAAATGTTGCATTGTGGTACCAGATCTGATTATGTGCACTGACATCCTATGCTAATTTATGTACTGTTTAACATACATTAGTAATCTCTGTTTCCCGGTATCATTCATTAACATATATGGGCTGCCCTAGATGCAGTGCTGTGTTTTTTCCTTAAGGTAACATTTTTACAGTTGTTGTATGCCATTTTAGTGCATTATGTACTGTGGTTCTTGACAGAATAAAATCATAGTTTCCAGGTAATGTCCTACAGTTCTAGATACAGTGGAGAAATATTGTATTATGCGGAACAAGAAAACAAACAAATGCGGACTTCCTTGTTTGTTGGATCTTATCAGAACGTGCCTTTCTGAAGCTGATGGCTTCTTAAGCACCATGTTTGATATTTAAGCTTGTGAGAACCTATGGGCTGGTTTTCTTTGTTTTGAAAACCTTTAAATATGATTTCTCTCAATATTTTGGAACATCAGGAATATTTCTCAGAAGTGGGGAAAAGTGTATTATTTAATGCATGCACTGTATCTTTAACACTCTTATATTTTAACAGAATTTAATGTATTTGTATAAGCTGGCTGTCACATCTATAGGTATCTCTTATCAGGGCATATTCCATTGTTCAACTGAAGTAAAATCTTGCATGATTCAGTTCGTATTCTTACACACACCTGATGAGGTCTGCTCAGCTACAATTTAACCAGGAAAAACATCAGGTGTAATTATTGGAAGATCACTTTTGTTCATTTTTATCTATAATAGCTCTGTTGGGGTAAGAAAAGTGACTAATCAAAGTAAAAGGCTGCTTAAGAATGAAGCAATATAAAGCTCATCAACAACAGAATTCAGTGATAGACCCCGAGGCAATTTCTAAGCTATTATAACTGCCTGTGGTGACTGCCAAGCTGCAGTAGCTAGAAAAATAACTTTCACAGTTTGATGTGAAGTCCTTTGTTTTTCTGGCACCTCTTCTCACTAAAAGGAGATATTGCATAGCTAATGACGTGCAGTAAGTAGTATAGTTACTGTGAAATTTTAACTAAATATATATATTCTAACAATCCTGTAATAATGTTACTGTTGTGTTTATTCCTTTATGCTAGTTTGTGATACGCTTGAATTTTAAGAAGTGATAGGCTAAGGTGAAGAAAGCCAGTCTGAGAAAAGCGTTTATTGCATATCAGCATTTTATTATGATTAGAAATACTTGCAAATATATAAAAAAATAAATAAATAAAAGGTAACTGATGCGATACCCTGAGATTGTAAAAAGGTGGTGTTTAAGTTAATGGATCATTAAATTACTAGCTTAAACAAATCCCATCTAATGCATTCTGTTCCTTTATGTACTCGTACCTTCAAACTCTTTGGGATAGGTAGCTTCCTCAGTGATAAATACAGCAGTACAGGTTGTGTTAGGACCCTGCTGATGAGTCACCCAACTCTTTCTCTTTTAAAGTTCTAGAAATTGCTTAAAACACAAAGGTAAAAGTTTAAAAGCTGTGTTTAAAATTTGGCACAGTGAGAGGGAATTTAATGGTATTTGAGAAATTCTTCTGATCTGTAGTAGAAACCAGCAGCTTTCTTGTGGGCTTCTCATTTTCTAAATATAAAAACCTACAGGATTGTTTCTGCTTGTACAGCATGATAACTTGGTTGAAGACATTCTTTTATCACCCTGTCAAGGTTTCATCTAAGTCACTTGGGTTACCAGCCTGTAGCATCTAAAATCAGCTCCATCTGAAGGCAGTGTTACCTATCTAAATCAGAGAAAAAATGAAACAAAGAATTTGTGATTGTTTGATATAGTCATCTTTTTTGTAATAAGCACAAATTACTTTGCACAGAAGAATATATGAGGCTAAGCGGTGATCTGCTGTTTTCCATTGTTTTCAGTTCTTGATTAGCTCTCAGAAAAACTCTGCAACACGAAGGAAGTACAGTACACCAATCTTATGTGCCAGTAAAAGCAGTGGGTGCAAATCACAGCCAATAATTTTGTAACAATATTGACTCATGTCAAGCAATTTGATCTGAAGCTTTTCAATATGTGAGCTAACAGCTCTCACATTTATGCAGTATAATTTGGCTTGAATGTCCATGAATGCAGAACTCTATATATTCTTTCAGTATCTGCTTTTCTTTTCGTATCAGCGCTGAGTTCTGCTTTCAATTTAGAGAAAATTCAGACTGTGGCTTTTTCTTCTTTTTTTTTTTTTTTTACAGTAAATATCATGCATCTCCAGAAGCGTACATGAAGGTACTCCCTGTATTTCCTGGGCAGAGTGACAGCAGTTTTATCTGGATTTGGTAGAGCAGTAGAAATTTAGAGCAGTGTTCTTGCATGCGGTTTCCAGAAATACTAATTTTAGCAGTCTATCTTAAAATGGCATCTCTTCTTTAGAGGAGTAGCTACCACTGTTGAGTTCCCTTCCATTTCTCTCAGGTCACTTGACAGTTTTACTGTGGCAACTTCTGTACCTAATTCTGTAACCCGTCATTTTTATACCTACTTTTTCGACTCCACCCTGAAGGTTTTAGCATAAAGAAATAGTAATAAAGTACTCAGAATCTCCTGTTGTGTTTCAGTATGCATAATGCATTACTAATGAGATTATGCAAGATTCTCACCCTGTGAAATCTCTTACTAACAGAAGAGCACAAAATAATGTGATGGAATATGAACATTAAAGTATGGCAATACATACCAGAAAAATAATTATAATGCTAAAATTATTATTGTCAGAAGGGGAGAGTAGGCTGAGGAATAGCAATATACCTAATCAAGCATCTGCCTTTCACAAAAAAAAAAAACAAAAACAGAAGACCTGAATTCTTCCTAAACCTCTTTGAATTTGTGGCTGAATGTAAGGTGGTATCTTTGAATTTGCTGTATTTTTGCATTGCGGATTGCTCTCTCACTTGCTACTCCTGCTAATGTGCCATATTTCTGGGTCTTTGTTGCTAGCTGTGGGACTCTGAGTGAACAAGCAGTAACATCTGACATGTAGCTGTCATCTCATCCTCCACAGTTGAAGAGACTTAGCTATATTAAGAAAAAATAGTTTAACCGACGACTAAATGAGCCCTTTATATAAAACAACAATTGAGGGCTTGCTGTGTTGGATGTGCTTGCTATTTAAGAGTCTTGGGTCCACAGTTTCCAGCTTCTAACTCAGCCTTTACAAATGAATCTGCAGATCTGAAGTTTTTTGAATAGAATAAGACAGTTATAAGTTTTTATTGTTCAAACAAAGGGTAATTTAATATCTTGAAAGAAATGTACATTAGCTTGCTTTTAAACAAAACAAAAATAATAGCTGATAGCAACTTTGATTTGCAGAAAAGAAAAAACATGAGTTGTTATGACTGGAATAGAGAATACTTTAAACTCCTGCGAAAAGTACTAAGCATGAAGTGGGAGGCTCATGACCAGTTCATCTATATTATTAGGAAAATGGTTCATTAGCCTGCCAGTGGGAGTTGCATCTAAGAAGCCTGTTGGACTCTGTGATCTGTGGACAAAGGAAAGAGCGGAATCACAAGTCTTTGCCTTTTATTGTAGTTAGAATTTATGTAGTGATGCAGACAATAGCTTTAATCTTGGCCAAGATTAAAATTACAGGAACAGCAAACAATTTTATTATAGCTTTTACAACATCATCAGTAGTAAAGCAGGTTTTGAAAGTTAAGTAATGATCTTGAAAGTAAAATAAATGTCTTTAAGTCTTTGCTGTTTTCCTTCAGTAAAATAAAATAAATGCATGAGGGTCAGAATATCAAGAATTTGATGACTTCATAGCAAAATTGTGCTGCCTCTACTCAACTGTGACTTGTACACAGGTAATAGCAACTGAAGTTACAGCAGATTAAAGCTGCTGTTACAGATGTAGGTTGCACAGAGTGATAGTTACTATTTACGGACACCTTTTTGCTTCAGAAAGTTTAGAGTCTTTATGAAGGTTAACTGATTTAAATCTTTTTAGAGATAATACTGCCTATCTGATCATTCATTGTTTTAGAAAAAGTCTTAGATTCATATAATCTTCAAGTATCTATAATGTACATGTCTGTAGCTGTTATCTGAGCTCTCCTTACAAGCAATCAAGTATACACATGTAGAAAACTGTTCTTGTAACATACTTCAGGCATTTTATCTCAAGATGGGATGAATTTCAGCTATGAGGTTTGTTTTTCTTCAGAAACTGTTAAGGAAGTCTTACTAAACTAACATTAAATAAATATTCTCTACTAAACATAAATTTTAAAAGTAGTTGCTCTAATTTATAAAATAAATTGTTGTGTAATATAGAAACATCCCTTAATGTTGTCAACATAAAAATTAAACCTTTAATGATACTTAATGTGATCACAGCCACCATGCTGATTCTATGGATTGATCAATAAAAGTATGTTGTAGGGTTACTCGAGTACTTTACCACACGTTTTATGACTCGAATGCTTTTTTCCTTTTTTTTTTTTTTTTTTTTAAGAAGATTTTTT